TACTTTCTGTTCTTCTCATCTTCCTACAGTAGCTTAAAATAAACACCTCAGTCTGCACCACTGAGATCTACTTGTCTTGTCTCCTCGTCTATTGTACCTTCTGCTGTGCTCCGCACTTGTTTCCAAGGAGCAGGGAGCTGGCTGATAAGGAGCCACACAGCTCAGGACCAATAAGGAGAGGGATGCGGGGGCGGTCAGCCTTAAATCACCAGGCTTGCCCTTGTCTTCGCCCTCAGTCTATCTGGTCTCTATTAGCGAATGAAGCGGTGACGCCACCTTCAAGAGACATTAAATAAAACGATTGCATCGCTTGCACTTCGGTGCTGCATGATAATGGGTGAACTCTAGAGCAGTTTCTACATTAACATACACACAGGTCATCATGTGGCTATCCCTCACGCTGTTTAGAGTGAGCGGTCACACTGGAAGAATAGAGTTTATGAGAGTAGGTGTGTGTGTGACTGGAATACCAAGTGAGTAACTTTCCATCATTGAGGAGTTCTGTCATTTGGCCATGACACTTCCAGGAAGCAGTAAACTGTTACTTCTGGCATCCCAGAACCATACTCCCTTTCTATAATGATGATACACTAATAAAACTACAGAGCAATCGGCCTGCAACTGTTTCTTGAGCCACAATATACCGTACCGACAGTCATTTACCACACTGCTTTACCACAACTCTCTAGTTCAGTAAACTGCCATGGGCATGGATAAGTTACGTCTAATATGATTTATGTTATGTGTTGTATAACATGCCTTGTAGGATACTATGAACCGATTATGTCTGAATGTTTGTATCTCCATACACAGAGAACACAGTATGTGTGGCCCTCACCTACGCAGTGATTATAGTCTTCATCATACAGTTGGGAATTAATTTATACATACACATCTCTTTATTCTAAAGCTGTCTCTCTAGAATCCTCAAAAACAGAAATCACTAATGAAACATTACGTTTCAGGCAAATGTTCTTGTTCTGTGTGAAAACAGACATGACAACATGATGTTATTATGCTATAGGCAAGGACTGACGATTATTATTAAATTATCAGCCTGTATGAGCAATAATCATCAGTCTAATACTGTCTGTTTAGCATCATTTCTAGACAGCATATTTTGAAAAATTAGTCTGACCACATAGCAGCTACATGCATTCACTATAACTCAAATTCTTTCTAGGGATGCAACTCATGATCATTTTCATTATCCATTCATCTCTCTGCTATTTTCTCAGTAAAATGTGAAAAAATAGTATAAAAATGTCTGTTACAATTTCCTGAAGCTTGAGTTTACATATTCATATTGCTTGTTTTGTCCGACCAACAGTCCAAAATCAAGATGTTTAGTTTTAATATCATAGTGGACAAAGAAAACCAACAAAATCTCACCCTTTGAGAAGCTTGAACAGGTGAATTTTGGGCATTTGTATTTGAACAAGAAGAATTGTCTACTGCCATGCTAACAGCTTTCTGAGGCTGTACTTTTAACTAAAGCCTAACAGTAGCATTCTAACATGCTCACAGTGGCACCAGCAGCTTTAATATTTACCACGTTCACTGTTTAGTTTAGCGTGTTCACATTTGCTAACATTCAGAAGGACATTTCTCTCGTTAGTGAGCCATGTTGCTGGTGTGGCTAAAAATGAAAACAATTAATCCAAAATAGTTTCTGACAAATTTTCTGTTGGATGACTAGACTAATGACTTCACCACTAGCTGTAGATTTGAATATCGGATGACCCGTGTAGCTCTTCTCAAGGCCACAGTGGAGAGGCATCCTGTGTTACCCTTTGTCTGAAGCAGGTAGCCTACACTGTTATGATCCTCCACCTCCTGCTCTTCAGCCATGTGTTTCTGAGATGTGGATGGTTACAGCTGGGCCAGATGAATAAGTGATGTGGTCTTGGACTTCTCAGGTCAATAATGCATGGCATTCTTTGTAGAGCCGGCCACTGGGATGTCGCTGCTGCACTTAATGCTAGCTCCTCTGTGGAGAGAGAGCTCCAGCTGTAGTGACACTTGGGCTTGTTGTGTAATGTTACCTCACTGCTGTTATTATTCAGGCTAGCCGCGGTTCCTGGAAGGGAAGTGTCATCTTATCGCTATGGTTATAATGTGTTAAAACCTCAAACGAGAAGGCTAGAGAAAGCATTTTAGGGTACAGTGTTATTGTTCTTTTGAGCCCCAGAATAGTTGTTGTGGACTTGTTAGCAGCATTACCTATCATTTTACATTTACTGTCTCATCTGTAGCCAAATGACAATTCAACTATGTTAGTTTAAAAAGGAACGCCCACTCCATCCATTTCACTTCACCAGTGCTTTTGTCACTGCAGTCTTCTGTAAGGAGCGATAACAGCCACACCAAGTGAAGAGCTGTAGTAACCTTCACAATTCAGGTGTTTTACGTAACAAGATTTATTTTTACAAGGGCAATTCTCATCAATCTCTCATCTGTTGCTGTGCTACAGTAAAACGACAAACTACCAAGCCTGAAGATAACCTTTAAATCCAGTTCTTATTGAATGAATGCAGTATTAACGCAGTACTGCTTGTCTGAATTTGTGCATATCATCCACAGCGGAGCAGGACATTTTTCTTTTTAAAATCTTTGGCAAACCACATCAGTCACACTCAAGTGATGTCTCGCAACTATTTAATGTGTTCTGAAACATTCATCAGACATTTCGACCCAACATTTCCATCAAAGATTTTTCATTCAGAGAGACAAAGAGAATGTTTGATGAATGGGACAGAGAGGGAGCGTCTGAAACCTGAACTGGAAAGCAAACAAAATGGCAGCCAACACACACACACTTAGAGAAAGAGAAGAGAGAGACACACTCAGACAAAACTCGATGCGCATGAAACAGTGAAAAACAAAGATTTATTGTCTCTCCACATCAAAGCTCTGCATTATCTTACCTTCATGGTCATTTTCATATTGATAAGTCTATCTGACAACCTTCAAATATTTCCACAGTAAGTATTCAGATTAAAATAAGATTTAAAAAGGACTACTATTAATACCGCAACATTTACAGAAGTAGCCTTGGTCAGATTTTGCAGTATATTGCATTTTAAAAATGGAAAGAAGCATTATATGACAGAACACGACTTGTACTGAACCTAGATGACATAGTATACTACAGTAAAGTATTTGTCAGTCTTAACATGAAATTCAGTCAAATACCTCCGGTCCAGTCCATGTTCTCTTTGTCTATCAAGTAAAAAGGAAAGACGAGGGAGAAACTGAAGGACAGAGGAGACGAGAGATATTAAAAAAGAAAGGAGGAAAAGAAATGAGAAAGTGTTATGGTGGAGCGGTTGGTGGGGGCTTGTAATCTCCTCCAGGTAGAATGTGATTGGACTGGGTATGAAATATACCGTCCTCCGGGGTGAAATACGTGGGCAATGGAAATAAGGGCATGTTCACATCTTTTGTTATCGTTCCTGTGGTGATTACACTGAGGTGTCACTCTTACGATAGTTAATACATGATTGATGGATGGAAGGATAGAGAGCTAGCTGTGAGCAGCCATGGAGTTATTTCCTGCTACAGAGAGTGTTGTACATAAATGCAGGTATTTAGCCTTGTTTTATTGCTCATGCGATTATTCCAAATACTGTTGATGAATGTGCACTGCCTGGCCTTACTCCAATAATTGCCTTGAAACCTGTGATAACTGTCATGCTAGTCATGTATCACATTTTACAGCGTCTTTTCTAGTGTCATAAATTAAATCACGCCACCAAACCACAAACCTCGCTCTGCTGCAGCCCTTGGCAACTTGGATGCAATACAGTGTGTGTATATGCCTGCATACACAGTACGTAGATGACTTTATGTATTCAGTGCACCGTGCTACCGCCTAGTTGTGTAATTTTAATAACTAAGAGGTTGATTTTTGCCCTTTGTGCTTTCCTGTTCCCGTGACTTGGGGTCAAAAGGTTGAAATGGTTACCATTTCCTGCCATAAATGTCAGCGTCAGTAGGATGAAAAAAACAAAAAACATATGGGCAGAGGACGTGTGGGTGTGTCAACACACAGTGGCAAACACAAAGATGGATATGGTCGAAATGAACAAGATAGAGATGATAGTTCCCTACACATTTCCCCCAAATCGTGTGTTACTAAATGGAACAAGGGCATTTTGAGCCACCTGTGTGGCAGATGTTTGGTGGAAGTGAAGGAGTTACTCAGTGTTCATTAGCTAAAGGATTCAGTAATAGCATTCTTTATACTGACAGATGGAAAGCAATATGCAATACATTAGTCTGTAAAGGTCAGGGATTACACATAACAGGATTACTATAGTCTGATTACAAGATATAGTGATTACTGTTGCTGATAAAATTGAGTTTCATAATTAAAGCATTTACTAATTTGAGTCAGCAATGTGTATAATTCCATAAACTTAGATAAGCTGGTTACTTGTTGGATTCATGTAGAGTGTGCATGCATGGGACTATGATTATTGTTTTTATGTAAAAGCATATTACATTGTTAGTACAGTTTGTCTGACATTATGATTAATATTGTATGTGCAAACTTGAGGTACTTCTCAAAACAGCACAGATAAACTTCCAAATTCCATATTTCTGGTTTGTCTGGTCATGAATTTATTTCCCCCCACTTTATTACCGAAACTGCTGACAGCCTTTCAATGATTAGTTAAAAATTAAGAAGTGTCTCTCAAGTGGGTTGGCCAACATTTAATCAAACAGTAAGCTCCAGAAAAATGAGTGTCCTTTAGGGGGAGCATTTCATGGATGACAGGGCAGCCTGCTTGTTAGAGATACTGTAACTAAAAGGTCATCAGTTTGATCTTTGTAATGGTATCTCTCAAAGGCATTTAACTCTACTGCAACTGTATGAATACACTGTTACTCATATTGCTGTATGGGTGCAGAGATAAACAACATTACACTAGTTGGTCTGGATAAAAAGTCACAATTGGTACAACCCCTCATTTCTTACCTTTTGGGTGTTGATCAGCCTGAATTGATGAGCTCTGACGACAAACAACAAACAAAACAAAACTACATTTTGGTTTGTTTTAATATAACTTAGTTTATGGGGCAGTAGACTTACACACAGAGCTCCATGTCAGGGTATAAATGTTAAATGAACACATTTACTACAATTTTAGATACGTGCAGCACAAGTTGCTGTAGGCATCTGAAGTGGACAAAATCAAAATACACCCTCACACATTTCTTTTAGTTTCTTGCTTTGCTTTTATGCATTTATTTATATTCAAAATACAGCAACATCAACAATACATATTTAAACGAAAGACATATTATCTGTAAAATGTCCAGACACATTATCACATGACTCTACTGATTTAAAAAGTAGCTAATCATAAACAAAAGTCAGTATTTGTGAAAAACTATTCCTAATTCAGGGTTCACTTACTTAGCTTTTTCTTCCCGAGCTGTTGACTATATCCCATTCCCTTCACCTTTAGCATATAAAAATTGCTCAGGTGACATCATGTGACCTAGTTATAGAACTGGTCATTCACTGAGGATGTCTGTGGAATTCGGTCAAAAGCTCTGGGAAAAACCTTGTAAGTGAACCTTGACTTAAGATTAACTGACAAGCTGTTTAAGATCAATTCTACACATATGTTCAATGAATAATTAAATAACAAGCTTCTTATAAATATGAACAACTCTATTTTATAACTAATTGTTTCTTTCATTTGTCACTTTAACTGTAATGCACACTAAATAATACATTGATTATAAAGCATTTTGTTACATAATGCCTGCTCCACCAGTATTATCTATCTTTGAGAAAGCCTGATGATGAACTTGTTCCAGTGCTGAAGCAGGTAGTGCTGAGGGCAGCTAACATGCTAAAATGTGAAGCTTGTAATTGAGACGTAAAATAAAAGGTCAGTGTGGCCCGTTAAAACTTAATTGCCTAAATTTGGTTACGTAACTAGACAGGCAGGGGATAAGGCCCTCTCCTCCTTCAGCGGGTCGTTCTGAAGATCTGACTCGATTCAGACATTAAGCACTGCACTGCACAGTCCGGTTGGAGGTTTATGTAACCCAACATGGCTGCCGATGCTGTGAAGCAATGCAGGACAGCGAAGGGAAGGGAGCGAGGGAGACAAATAAGGGACATCAGAGCAGAGGAGAGATGGAATAAAGACGATGCATAAATATCACCGATGCACATTTAATCTGTAAAATAGTGGAAGGATCTTCGACTATGTCAGCAGTTAGTAAACTGGCCTCTGAATGAATGCTATATGAGCCTGTAAACAGTACACTTAATCATTTTGATGCAGCTGTTGATATGAGGATATAGTCATGACTGAATACATCTGCAGAGATGAATGCAGATGAATCTATATACCGCCCAGGGAGGTTTTAATGAGTCACGTGCTGTGACATTGCCTTGGCAGTAAAAAATATCTTCATCTACTGTGTATGTCGCCAGCAGATGTTGTTGTGAACATCTCTGGACACATGAGTGGGTGAAGCAAACACAGAGGGTACAGCAGGGACCTCTGAGGCAGAATATCAACCAGACTGCTCACTAACTCACCAAGATGAGACATGTACAGGTGGGACAAAGCCGTCTGTTCAAGATGAGGCACAGACTCACTGCTGTTTTAAGATTAACCTGGCATCTTGCTTTGGTGTTAGGATTTCGACTGTTTTTTGTAGTAATAATCAAGGAGGACAGTTTTATTGAGGTCTGATTGAAGGAACTTATTGTATGAGGTAGATTCTCAGTTAGTTTTTTGTATCTGAAGAAATAGTGGCCGTATGAATATACTAAAGTCAGTCAGGTGGATTTTCTTTAATCTGCGTGTCTTGTACGGCGTATCTTGCATTAATCTTTCAAGGGTTGCAAACGGACTGGATGGTCTGTTTAGGTGTATTGTTTCTCTGTTTTTGCAAGAAATGCATTTACCTTACTACCAATTACTTTAATCAATACACAGAAATAGGCTGAGCAGATTTGTATCTTTTGAGTACACTTTGCACAATTACATTAAGATTTGCAAGTAGAGTCTGAACCTGGGTGTCTGCAATAGTGAGCCAACATATTTTCTTCTGTGCTCTGTCTGAACTTTGCTTGAAAATAGCAATACTAGCTAGAGCAAAAGCCAAAATAACCTAAATCCATTGTAGATGCAGTTTGTTGATTTCAGTGGAATAGGTGCTGCTAGTTGTAATTCCGTCACTTGATTCAATGTTAATATTAAAAAATATCACTTAACAACGCCTTTCTGTACATACACAGTCTTTTTGTTTCCTGTAAGATATATATAAAAAATATTTCAACCCAACAGCCAACGATTCATCGTCATCCCCCTCCTGGGCAAAATTATTGTAGCAGGATTACCACTTAGCCAGATAACTAAGACGAGGAATTATATTTAATTCTTAAGGGGTTTAAACAATTTGGATGCTAATTTTTAAGGATGTCTTGTAGCCGTATCCACTGATAATCTCAAACTCATCTGACACATGACAAGTTGCTTCATGATCATCTTTAGAGTTAGCTCCTGGTAAGCCTACATCTGGAGATGCCCAGCTGTTTGGCTTGTGATACTAGCATCTCATGACCTACAGAGGGGAGGAAAGGATCACAGCTACAGGGCTAACAGGCTGTTTATGTCTCTCTGTGGCTAATCCTCCAAAATCCCAGTCAACCCTGTCTGAGACTGGAATTCCTCTGCAAACATCAGTTGCCTGCTCACTTCCCATTCATTCCTCAACAAACGAACACTGCTGCTTCGGCGGCTTCTTAATCCTCCATTATATAGCCTGCAACAGTAAACACAGAGTTAGGAGACAGAAGCCCCCAATTGGCTACCTCTTGGTCTTATTTTTTTCATTTTATGACTTACGTGATCCAATTTAATTTGGCCTATTTCTACCTTCAGCTATTAGCTGCTGCTGTTTTCCAGAGCGACTTGGAGCCAGTGGGTGGGGAGGAGTTTGTCACTTTGCTCAAGGTCATCTTGACAGGGCACATGCCTGATGATGGATGTATTTAAACTGAAAAGATAAACATGAATTATAGGATGAATTGCTGTTGAATGAGTCTGAATTTGTCTTCAATAGGTCATAAGACAATTAGCCAATATAAGTATGCGATTCTAGAAAGATGTGCACAATCTTTTTGGCTAATCCTTTACATTTTTTCGTCAACACGGGCACATCTGAGCCTGACATTCCTCTGAATACATCGTCTGCCCACCTCCTCTGGAGTTTTTTCCTCCATTTACTGGTACCAACTGTTTGAAATATTCTCATTCCTGTGAGGGGTATAGAGCGGAGGACGTGAATATAATGTTGTGGGTTTGCGATCAAAGGTGCATGTCAGGTTAGGGGTTTGATTCCCTCATCACTACAACAAATTTATGAAGCTGTCTCTTAAATTTTGTTGAAGATCCAAATGCCAAAAGCCAGCTCATTTTTATATTTCAATAGTCAAATGTCAAATCATCCATTGCTCTGAGACTACCTCAGTGGACTCCGTCCAGCAATCTTATGTTTTGTCTCTCTTCCAGCCCTCCCCACATTCCCACTAGGATCTTCTCTTCCCTGTTGGAGGCCTTCTCCACCCCCCACATCCAGCAGCCATGGCAGATGACGCGGACATGCGCAATGAGCTGTCAGACATGCAGCAACGCGCTGACCAGCTGGCCGATGAGGTGAGAACAACGCGCTCACTGCATCACAGTGGTATGAGTTGTGATGGTGCACAGACATGATGGCATGCACGTATTTATGCATACTGGACTTGAGCACATTCATATGCATACAAATGAGAATACATTTGAACATATACATTACAGAGACTTTGAAATGACTCTGAAATTCTTTAACATGACAAACATATACTCATTTTGGAATTTGGGGGATGAATATACAGTATAGGGTAAATATAATTTCATGATTAAATAGTGACTGTTGTTAACAAAAACACAGTCTTTTCATCAATTTCCCAAATCTAAAAGCTATTTTAATAATAATTAATTAATTAATTTGAACTGCATACTCATAATGTGAAGGATGTTTTATACATCACCTCAAATGTTGTGAAAAATAGTTACAAATGTGGTTCAGTCTTTGAATGCATAATAACATAAATTATACAGCCCGTGTTATTGTCTGCCTAGGGCTGTGGCTGTTCGTGTGTGCGTGCAGGGGATAAAAGTATACCTGCATCTGACTTTACATAACACTGCATGGTAACATCTTGAGTGTGTGTTTGTTAGTGTGAGTGGACATGACAAATTTGCGCGCTCATGAGTGTAAATTTAAAAAACTGATTGTGTGTCTGTGTTCATGTGAAGAAATCCATCTATGGGCTAGTGCTTGTGAGTGTTTGAATGTGTGTGTGTGTGTGTGTGTGTGTGTGTGTGTGTGTGTGTGTGTGTGTGTGTGTGTGTGTGTGTGTGTGTCTGTGTTTTAACAGCAGTCAGAGTGAGAGAGAAAGAGAAAGTCTCAGCCATGGCCCGGAGCAGATAAGCCCACACCCCTCCAGCTTCACATATGACTCACACTGGCACAGCTGAGCAGAATATTAAACACACACACATACACACACACACATGCATGAACATAGGGCATGCACAAAATGGCGGCATCAGAAAAACAGTTTTCGCCTCTGTTGCACTGAGTTGCATGAGCTCCCAGATCCACAGAGAGGACACCAGCTCGGATAATGACTATCTCACATCAGAAAACATGAGCAGAAGTGCTAAAATATAAGTCCAAGGGTATTCTGGTTGCTTGAAAATAAGAAAAAGGGGTGAAAAGCAAAGATGAAAGAATGAGGAAAGAGACAGATGAGCTGAAAAAGAGGAAGAAGAGAAAGAAGACTGACTACTTTAAAAATGGCTACTCAAATCAAGGCTGTGCCCCATTTGATTCCTCACCCAACCCCCTTTCTCCATCCCCCGCCGCTCCGGGGATCAGCCGTGCTCGCAGCGAACACAGCAAGCCGAAGCTGTGTCATTGTAAGAAGAACGAGATATCACAGAGCGCCGTCCCTGCCGAGTGGCTCTAGCTAGCAAGCTGTGCTCTGCAGCCACACGCTTCTTAGAGAGGGAATTGGAACGTGCAGCTACATATCTATCAACACACAGGCTAATAATAGACATCCAACGGGCTGTGAGAAAGCGATAGAGGGGGGGATCAAAGCATGCTTTTATAACAAGAGTACAGTTATTTCTATTGGCAGAGCTGCTGTATTCTTGAGTATTAACTGGTGAGTTTCTAGATCTCAAACATGCTTAAAAGCAATTTAGCTTTGATCTCAAATCTGTATCATTGTAACTATTCGGTTGACAGGATGAAAATAAGCATCTCAGTCAGTCACTGTTACTGCTATGTTCAACATTCCTGTCATAAGGTTGGACATGTTCAATACTCAAAATAAAGACAGTCTATCTCTGTGAGTTCATGTTGAGTTCATGTCGATATCGATCCTTTCTGTGTCCCGCTGATTGTTCAAATTGACTCCACTTTGTTGTGAAACATGCTCACTTATGCTCAATTCAGTGAACATGAATACCGCAGACACATGATTGTGCTGTTTTTGTGCTGACTTAACATTATTTGTTCTCCATTTTAGAAAGTTGTTGTCAAACAGTCCCTCTTTATGATGGCTGTGGCTGTAACTAACATTCCTTTTATTTCTCAACAGTCACTGGAGAGCACTCGTCGTATGCTGCAGCTGGTGGAAGAGGTAAGAAAACTTTATTAGATGCAGCAAGAATAGGAAATGAATGTAGCGACACTGGAAGTCTATCATGTCTCCGACACACTTTGGTTCATCTGTCTGCAGGGCAGGCTGATATATATTATATCAGAAAAACTGCAGAAGGGCAAATTTACTGCAGCGAGACTTGGGTATATTAAGGGAATTCACTGAAAAGACAAAACTGCAGCACCATATTAAATTCTTACAGTTTTAGTAGTTTGAATATTACAGCTATGAGGCCATTTAATTTTGTTGATGTCTCCTAATTCTTCTACTGTTATTGAAATTTTCATTTCAGCAATTTGGGAAGGTAGGAGTGACTCCAACTCAAAGAGCAGGCACCACACACTATTAGCATAAAGTTTAAACAAATGTTCGTACTTTGTCTGTGCATAGTTGGCATTTTGAGTCCTTAATTGAGAAATAATTACACTTTTCGCCATGCATTAATTGTGAATCTGAGGGAGCCAGCAATTCCAATTACAGTTTGTACACAATGTCCCCATTATTCTCATTTTCCAACAAAGAACACCATCCAGCAGTTCACAATTGAAAGAGGAGCAGAGCACAACATTGTAGAAACACACATGAAGACAGTAGATTTTCTCACAGAAGCAGAGCTGAATGTGTGCTGGTACAGCAAGGACAGTAAAAGACTCATTGTTTCATTGTTTTCTTTGGATACATGGTTGCACTACAGTAAATCTGTAAGAAGTGGTTAAAAAATGATTTGGCAAGAACGAGACCTTATTTACTTTGAACAGGGTTGAACAAAGTGAAATGTAAATAAGGGTGGTGTGATTAAGAACTATTCCTTGAACATCTCTCCTGCTATGTACCAAAAGACATTATTATTACTAAATTTTTTTGTTGGGATCTGGAATCAAGTATCTATCAGATTCCATACTAGCATTTTCTAAGAATACTTTGGTTGGTAGACAGGCAGACAAACTAGTTTTGAGTCAGGTGCTGGTGATTTCTGAAACTACTGCATCCAAATGAAAGATTTCGCTTTAACATGCACAATATTTTTCTGTTCTAAGTGCATGAGTCCATTAGTCTGCTCAGGCGGGACTGAGTGAACCATGAGTCAACCAAGTGATGGCGTGAATAGCACATTATACGAAATGAACTAACGTCAGAGAGCGAGAGGATACACACACACACACACACACACACACACACACACACACACACACACACACACACACACACACAATACACGTTCAGACTCTGTAGATTTTTATTTGCTCATGTAATATTCATGCCAATAAATAATACTGCAATAAACTGAGAGTGAAAGACAAGGAGAAAGAGAAACTGAGAGCCTGAGAGTGACACGACAACAAGCAGAGAGAGGCGGGGGGAATAAAAGAGAGAGGAAAGCCTACAAGGCAGAGAGAAAGCGTGGACAGCTGGGGGCGGTGGTGCCTGACAAGCTTTCTGTGCAGATCTCAAGGTCATATTGATCATCAGTCGACATATGTCACCACGCAGCTCCACCCTACCACTGTCTATCTCTCCTTCAAACTGTCCCAGCCTGCAGTACAGAGGAGAAATCAGGGGAGAAAGTTTTGTGCTTCTCCTCCTGTTAAACAGACAGCCAGAAAGATGAAGGGAGGGTGAAAATGAGAGAAGGGAGGGTGAGGGGATGACAGAAATGCAGAGTCAAAAAAATGTCTTGTACGATCTCAGAGGACAGTGACAGAGAAACACTACTGAAAACATACAGGGTGAGAAAATGAAGAAGAGAGGAACAGAGTTGATCAATTTTGTTGATTATGTTTCGCAGGTTAAAGGTTTGCTCCCATGTTGATGATGTAAATGAATCTATTGGTAAATATCTTTAGATGTTTATAAGGCAACTAGCTAACACAAGGCTACCTTCTAGATAACATTCAGTCTACTTTCTGCTATCTCTCAGGATTTCTGATATGTGTATGTATATGTGTATAATCGACTGATAGGTCAGAAAATTGCAATGGCATCAATCACAAAACAGTTTTAAAAAAATGTATTCCAGTTTGTCAGTAGTTGCTTTTTCAAATCAGTGTGCTCCCTGAGATCTACAGTTTTCACCCAAGAAAGTTTACGTCGGAAGCTTCTAAGTAATCGATCACATCCTCGATGGTCACTTCAGGTTGCTCAGCTGTAAAATAAAGTTTTACTGTATCTGAATGGAAATAGTGTGGAATAAACCACCATAGCTTGGCAATTCAGTTTAGCCCACTAATTAAGCCAAGCCACAGTGGCTTGCTCCTTACTATAAGGCTAGTTTCACGAGTAAGGATAATTTCTATTTTATATTATATTGTAAAAATACTGGGCATTTAAGATATAATGTTTACCAAAGGTACACATAAAATAATTTGATGAATGATGCCAGTGTTTCATTAACATCAGAGAAATGAACTTAAGTCAAGTCAGTTTGATTTATGTAGGCTAAAATCACTAATTTGACAGCAGAAGGTTGCTTGTGAGTACGTAAACATCCAGCACACCAACTATATTCTTTAATCCATAGTTTGACATGAAAGTCTTGCAAATTTGCTACCCATCTGCCAAAATGTATGAGTCTATCCTCTGACTGGAATGAGGAATCTGCATTGAACCACCTTCAGTCATGTATGGGATCATGGTTGATTATTCCTTGTAGTTTCCCCAGGGACACATTTCGACTACTTTGGGATTTCTCGTGGATGGAGGCTTGCTGAATTACAGAATAATTTATACACCACAGTGTCCTTATTGCTCCCCTCTCGCCTCTCAAACATCAATGTGGCTTTCCTCACAAACTGCTGAGGAGGCAGGGGGGATGTGCATGTAGTGATGTGTATGTGTGTGTTGGTGCATTCATTTGTGTGTATGTACACTGACACACCATAATCTTATTTACGCCTATCAGGCCTAACCAGGTGTCACATCTTAGTGCGGCTGTGCTGTATTTCTAAGAAGCAGAGAGGAAGAAGAGTTGCATATAAGCAAGTGTTGCTATCCTCCACCTCCTCACACACTTTCTACCAGCACCAAAACCCAGCCTATCAGTGACTAGTAGCTTCACTGCTGCACGCATGCACACTCGGGAAGGAATTAAAATTTAAAGGCTGAAAGACCAACAGGCTATCTACATTTTAAATTTGAGGAAAGATTGTTTTACTTACAGGTTACAAGCAATACTAATGCATGGTCCACTCCAAAGGTCTACCAGCTGCTGACTCTGAGACAGAAGGGGTGTTGGGATCCCAGGTTATTAATTGCATCATTTGTACATGGAAATCCAATGGCAGGGTTCTAATTTTAATGAGAACTCTCCTTTGCTGTCAGCATTATTATTGTTAACCTCCTGGGGGCTATTTCCATGTTTCCTGCTTAAGGTGTAATGGTCGAATCAATACCAGCCTACATGCTGACATGGGGGAAGCAAAATATTATTTATTTTTTTCCTTCAGGAGAACGGGAACATTAACAAAATGATCCCAGGGTGTTGTTAAATTAGTCGTTCTTCGGCTTTGCAGAGTATGTGACTTTTATCTTCTTGTGCGTGAGGATTTCTAAAACATGTGGGTCTCATTTTGCAGATTTGTAATTGTCTACCTCTACTTTCATTTTTAAGATGTGTTCCATATTTAATGGAGTTGTTAAAGTCAATTTTCTCTCTTGCAGAGAGCTAGCTGACAAATGTGATACCACTTTCATGGCTCCATGTTAACTGTAAAGCTAGAGCCAGGCGAGATTCGCTTAGCAGAAAGACTGGAATCAGCTAGCCTACTTCTAAAGAACACTGAAGAACACATTATATACATTTTGTTTTGTGGTTTTATGAGTTAATTGCTCCTACTATAACTGCTAACTAGCCTCCAACTCTTATGCTAAGCTAATCAGCTGTGTTTTAGTGCATTTTAAAAATCCAATATTAAAAAAATCAGAAATAGTGAGAATGTAACAGTTTTTCAGCTCTGCACAAAAAAATCAGCTTCAGGTGAAAAGTGAAAAGGTGTGAAGGGGAAATTGCTTATGGCAACTCATATTTTTAAGTAGTCACTGATTCTTTAAGTGGTTGTAGCCTCATTACTGACCTCTATTTCATTTTATTTTTCCTCCCTCCCTCCCTTACCCTTCCTACCCTACTTGGCTGTCTGGTGAATAGAGCAAAGATGCCGGCATCAGGACTTTGGTTATGCTGGACGAGCAGGGAGGTAAGTCTGCAAGAGTGGATATGGTCATTTAGTCACAACATATAAGTATTGTTAACTGAGCTATTCACATTCAACAAAGCTGGAATAATAATTCTTTATTTAGTAAAAGTAATAAATTCTGCTTATATTCACACACAGCTCCATGAGGAGCATTATTATTTGAAGATAGCAATGTTGGTGTTAATTTATGGTATCAAAACACTTGTGAATGGATGAATTGTTTCATATGCAGTTGCTTGTTTTCATTTAAATGCATTTCCAAACTAATTCATTTTTTTTCCTGATTTTCTTTTGTTTGTAATATTTTGTGATTTGGGTTTTGATTTAATGCATGGTTTATTTGATTGGTCGAGGGTGCCAGTTTAACTTTGGGGAAATTTTCCTTCTTTCAGCTTCCTTTAACCTTTGTTTCCTTTGGCTAACATTTTTTATTTTTGGTTTGCCTGACTGCTTTTGATTTGCCAGCAGCTTTTGTAATTTCCATTAGCTAACAGCAACAGCGAAAGGAAATCTCGAAAGTGCCAAAACATTAACAGAAACATATTTAACGCCAGCCACTGCAGTGCCAAAACCCTACAGCTCAGCATCAAGATAAATTATTCACTGTCCAAAATCCAGTTGCATTAACATGTTTGTACCTGTGGCAGCCAATGGCAGGGTGACTTCTTGTCTGTTCTTGGATCAGTTTGTCTTCTTCAGAACTACTGAGGAAAAACTGTTTGGATGATAA